CCCCAAAACCCCAAAACCCCAAAACCCCAAAACCCCAAAACCCCACAGATGATGGAGAGAGCTGAGAATCTAAATTTAAGTTTTATTTGTTTTATAATAATAAAATGGATACGTCTGAGAGAGGGGATTATCATTTGTTAGAAGAGAGTAAGAGAGAGGATAGTGAAAGCAGAGAAGACTTAGAGATAGAGAATCGGAAAATTAGAGATTATGAGGAAGATAAGAGGTGGGAAAAATTAGAAAAGCTATTTGAAGCTCATTTAAAGCCATTACAACAATTTAGAAATATTTTCTGGAAATATCAAAAGAATAATATCTGTTCTAATTCTCATGATAATTATAATGAGCTATGTTTAAAAATAAATGAAGAACTATACCAGATTGAAAAGAAATTTGGAAATGCAAGATTCCATGATAATTTGGAAAATGCTTATAATTCCTTGGATCAGATATATCAAATCGAAGATTGTTTACTAAAAAATAATCTTTTTCGGAAGATTATCTCAGCAAAGAATCAAAAACTATTCCAAACGATAGAAAACAATCATGAAAACATGCCTGTTTTTAAGGGACCCAATTTAAGAGGAAAACTAGGAGATCAATGTGCAAGAAAATAGAAAATTGGTGAATACTTTTCACGCCATAGAAAATGAAGAACCAAATGGGCAAACTCAAATGAACAGTAACCTCAAAGATGAAGAGTATTCTTTTGAAAAAGTAGTTTGAGAAAAATCTTGTCCATGAGCTTTCTGGTACTTTAAATCTATCAATTAATTTGTTTAATTTTTTAGGTGGTTAATTTCAATAGGAGTTGCCATCCTGATTCCTTCATTGATAGTAGCCTTACTTAATAAAAGGCACAATGTATTTAAGATTTATTACGGCCAAGAATTGAAATAAAGCAAATAAGGTCAAGAGCAATGAATTTTATTCTTTCAATTGACTTAAAGTTTCAATGCTTTGTTTATAATATTCTGTCACTTTTTATAAATAAAATCTGTTTTAAATAGCTAAAACCCTGAAAGCAAAAAGTACTAATTTTTTCAATGTAAAATACAATATAAATCATAATTTGTAAATTTCAATCATCTATCTTTGGTAGCTGAGCTATTGATCGTAATATACTAAATGTATAGATGGTCTCATCTATCTCAATGAAGCAATTGACGACATCTTATTATTTGCTAACGATAATGATCCTCAAGGATTACAATTTGATGATAAACTTGATCAGTGAGACTCTTTTTTCGAGAATTATAAGGAAAGGCTAAGAAATTCATATGGGCATCATTCTGATCAGCTAGAAAAATTATTTCTAGCATTTTGAAGCAAATTTAAAAATCAATACAGAAAGGAAATTTTGAATATAAATAAAGCTAATGAAGAAGAAATCAACTCTTTAGAAGCAGAAATTAAAGCTCTAAAAGAAGATAACAGAGTCAAAAATGCTAAAATTAACCTAATGCAAATAGAAAGAGACAATGCTGCCAAAGAGTATCAATTTTTACGCATGAAGTTTACTAATGAGATTATGACATACTCAATCGAAGAACTAAATAGTCTCTCATCAGAAATCCTCAATAAGGATATTTATAATGAAAATGATCCTCAAATTGAGCTGAAGCTCAAAGATCCAAGATATTTGGAGTTCCTTAGAGCAATTGATAAGAGAATACCTGATGCCACAAGATTGTATATTGATTATATTCCGAACAATCATGAAGATGTTAAATATTACTTGGAGTATTACTTCCCAGAGAAAGTTGAAGGAATATCTTTTAACTATGGATCAAATGAAACTCTTCTACTTGACAATTATGTCAAAGAATTAGTGTCAATCGCTCCAAAGGTGCAAAAGCATATGGAACTCCATAATTTTGTAATGAGCCAAGATGATCTGATGGCACTACTTCCGAGTATAAAGCATCTGACCTGGCTTTCTCTGAAAAATGGTAAATTAAGCGTTCCTTCAGTTCCTGATTTCGGATATATTCTTGATGGAAGCAAGTTAACAGGACTCTCTTTATCTTACTTAAACAAGAATTTCTTTGCCAATCAAGGAAGAGATTCTTCAGAGTTTGAAAACTTAATCGAAGGCCTCTCTAAGTCGGGAGACTTTAAGTCAAATCTAGAAACTATTTTGGTACATCAATGTGGAAGATCAAAGAAAGAAATCCAAGATATTTTATCCAGACATGGATTTGAGAAGGTTTATGTTGTTGAAATATAAAAAGTTTGATTCTACTGTCGAGAATTAACAATTGAGGTTATTCTAATTTCAATAGCATATTTGTATACTGGGGTTTTGGGGTTTTGGGGTTTTGGGG